CCGGGCTCCGCCCCCACCGGCTGCAGCCCCTGAGCTGTCAGTCAGCGCCTGGGAGAGGTGGGTCAGTGTGGCTGTGACCGCTGCGGACTGCAGGGCATCTTCCAGGAAGAGCAGCGAGGGGTCCAAGGGGGCTCAAGGCACCGCCACGAAGACCGAAGACCGTGGGGCACTTCTTCCCGTTGATCTTCTATGTGGAGGGCTTGGTTATTTGCCCATTGTGGACGGTTTTTTGTTTTTTGGTATCAGGGACTGAAACTAGGGGGGCTTTTCCACTGAGCCACACCCCCAGCTCCCTTTAACAAACAAACGAACAAACAAACAAAAATTTTGAGAAAGGGTCCTGCTCCTTTGCTTGGGGCCTCTGTAAGTTGCTGAGGCTGGCTTTAAACTTGAGATCCTCCTGCCTCAGCCTCCCAAGCCGCTGGGATGACAGGCGTGAGCCACTGTGTCCTGCCATTTTGGACAGTTTTCATGTACATAATGTTATACTCTGATATTGCAGTCCATTTTTCATTACTATAATTTAAAAAATCTGAGGCTGGTTAACGTAGGAAGGAAAGAGGCTTATTTACTCAAAGTTTCGGATGCTCAAGGGCATGATGCTGGCACTAGCTTGACTCTGCTGTGGACCACCTGGTGAATGGTATCACATGGAGGAGGGAAGCCAGAGAAAGTGGAGAGGCCAGGCTTGCAATCAACCCTCTGGCAAGAACTAGAACTACCTAATCCTTTCCAAGGGCACGCCTCCCATGACCTAACCACCTCCCTCCAAGCTCCGCCTCTTAAAGGTCCCCTCTCTCAATACAGTCAGGACTCAAACACAGGAACCTGTGGGGGACACACTTAAACCGTACCCAGCCAGCGCATCTGCCTTCTTCCCTGTACAAGCTAAGGTGAGCACCCCTCACTGTGACACCACAAAGCTTCCCCCACACACGGGGAGGTCAGTAGGAAACCGGATACCACTTTGGAAAAGAGCTCGACAACTTCTTGGAAAAAATCAAACACAAATTCGCCATGGAATCCATGGAATTCCACTCCTAGGAATCTCCAAGAGAAAAAAACACACGTGCGGAACTGTTGGTCGCGACCTTATTTAAGACACCCCAAAGTGGAAACAGCCCAAATAAGTACCCAGCAACTGGTGGTCTTGGCATGAAGGGAGCCGCCCCCCAGCAGAGAGGAAGGGAGCCCTGACGGCAGGGTGAGGCAGGGTAAGGCGCGGGAGTTGGGAACTGCAAAGCCAGATGTGGGGGAGCCAGTGCTGTGTCCTTCCACTGAGCGCAAATACAGGACACAAGGAGACGGAGGTCGCCGGGGCGCGGTGTAAGCAGCTAGGGACTGTAAGTGGGCATGAGCGTTGTTTATGGCGTGCTGAGAATGTTCTAGAGCTAGGTGGTGGTGTGAGCCGCAGAACCGTAGATTTATTACAGATCATCTAAATTCCCCGGGGACGTGGCTCAGTGGTAGAGCAAGTGCAGGGTCCAGGGTTCACCCTCCACCCCACCTCCATCTCGATAAAGGGGAAAAAAATCATTGAATTGTACATTGTGAATATGGCAGATAAAGTAAGTCTAATAAAGCTGCTTTAAATCCCACATTATGTATAATCAGAATGAAGCAATTAATAAAATTGAAAAACACACGTCAAAAAGAACACCTGATGGGTGTGGTGGCGCACACCTGTCATCCCAGCAGCTGGGGAGGCTGAGGCAGGAGGATGGCGAGGTCAAAGCCAGCCTCAGCAATGGTGAGGTGCTGAGCAACTCCGTGAGACCCTGTCTCTAAATAAAACACAGAACAGGGCTGGGACGTGGCTCAGTGGTTAAACGCCCCTGGTTCAATCAATCCCCAGGACAAAAAAAAAAAAAAATGGGAGATGTCCTTGATGGTATTTGACACCCTCTGGCTGCCCACACTGTTATCTTTCTCAATGACAGTGACGAACAGTCCTGGTTTCAGATGACTTCCTCAAGTTCTTTAGAGAATAGAGCTTTTGGGGACCAAAACAATCAATATTTTTAAGGGTCTCAACTGGATGATTAAATCCTTTCCCAAAGCCAGGGGCCAGCTGGGAGCTATGGATCCTGCCCTAATTGTGTGATCAAAGTACACAACCAGACACCCCTTCAAAAGAGAAGCCCCCGTCCATGGTGCCAGGAGTTAGCCGCTCCCTTGAGGGACAGTGGGCGTGTGGAAGGGGCGGGCCCTCGTGGTGTTTTATTGTCTTTGGAAATTGAGATAATTTACATAGAGGAAGATGTCCAGTCTGTGAGGGGTGTGTGTGGTGTGGTGTGTGTGTGTATGGTGGTGTGTGTGTGTGGGGGGGGTGTGGTGTGTGTGGTGTGTGTGGTGTGTGTGTGTGTGTGTGTATGGTGTGGTGTGTGTGCGTGTGTGGTGTGTATGGTGTGGTGTGTGTGTGCGGTGTGTGTGGTGTGGGGTGTGTGTGTGGTGTGCTGTGTGTGTGGTGTGTGGTGTGTATGCTGTGTGTGTGTGTGTGGTGTGTGGTGTGTGTGTGTGGTGTGGTGTGTGTGTGGTGTGTGTG